AAATTTGGATGTAGATCCGATAATAACAATACACTGTCTTGAAATTAAATTTTGATGTAGTAATTTTTGAAATCGATTATTCAGAGAATTTTTCAGAGACTCTTAATCGAAATTCGAGTACCATGACAGTGATCAAAATATTCGATTTATGACTAAAGGATTTTCGTCTAATGAAATTATTGGAAGCCAGCTAATTCAGCTACCAAAAACATTTACAAGAGTGTCATGGTACTGTAGACTGGTAAGAGAAGTTTAAGATTTCTCCACTCAACCTACAAAACTCATGTGAAGCGATGTCCTTCGGCAACATTATTTCGCAGTGTTATATGACACGAATGTGTTCCAATTGAGAATCCAGAATTTGTGCGAAGCTTATCATAAAGGCTAAATCAGTTTCATGTCTGGTTATTGTCAATCTTCTTAGCTCATAATCAAACAGAACAATTGAAACTTCTAGATATCGAGAGTGCTATCATTGAGATCAAGTTTAAAGAAGTGATAGGTTCCTAATTGATGATGTAGTTGGCATAAAGTTAAAAATCATTAACGAAAAAATCTCTCAGTTCACATATTTTAGTGGCGCTTCTCTTCAGATATGAAACATAAGAAAATAGTGTTTTTTAAATATAATAGTGTGCAAGTTTCGAAATTCGGCCCTTAAAATGATTTCATGAAGTTGATGGTTTTTGCTGACCAAAGCAAAAAAACTGTATCTGTCAAACGCGAGACTCGGGCATAGTTGCCATTTTCTATTTTTCTATTTATGAGATCAACTTACAAATTTTTAGTTAGGTTATAAAATTACTAGTCGACTTGAAGTGTTAACTTCATTTGATATTTGCCTATGTTGATTTAGATTCTGATACTCCAATCGTTGATGCCCAAAATCTTAAGGATGTGTGTGGGTGAATGTGGATGAAGAAGAGACATTCACCTACACCCCAAACCCCCATTGAACGTTTATTTGGACTTAGCACCAGTTACTCTCCTTTTCAATCTTCAAACTCTAGTATAACTAAAAATGAGGATGGAACACATCTATCTTGTCTCTCTAGTTCGTTTGCCTATGTTAGATGGCATGTATCAATGTGATATTTTTGTTTTTGTATTAATACGGAAAAAAGTATTGATAGTAACCAAGTAAAGTCAAGAAGACCATAGACGATAATATTTGTCATACTTATCAAACACAGTGGAAGTTTTTATCACCGAGAGAATTTTAATTGATTGAGCGTAATAGTAGTCTTTTTATTTTGAATAATGAAGTGAAAAATCTTAGTTATTTAATGTTTTTCGATAAAATTGATAAGAGAATTAGCAATCTTTCCATGAAAAAAAATAGAATTCTTCTGTATTAATCTAGCACATAAACACTTCAAGTTAAGTTTTGTTCTACTTTTAAGAAATTGCTTAATATTTGAATTCTTTGCAACGTCGATGGGTGTCTCTCCTAAAGCATTGACATAATCTAGATGAGCACCAGCATTACAAAGATATTGAATTATAGTGTCATCAACTATAGTTGAGTTAGATACAAATATATGGAGAGGTGTGTTTCGAATAGCGTCTATTGCATTCACATCAGCACCACATTGTAAAATCAAACGAGCGGTATGTAAACATGGATATCTATAATAATAGAAATCTTTCAAAAATAAGTAATTTAACATAGAAAACATACTTGCAAATGGAATCGATGAAATAGTCATTGGCAGACGTATGATTATTGAGACTTAAATGTAGTAGAGAAGATCCATAGGTTTGGGTAACATAGTGACGTTGAACAATAATGCGAATATGTCGATAAAATATTTTATGATCATCATGCGAAATGATGGATTTTGACACAATCTGAACAAGAATATCTTTATAGCAGAAACTACAAAATTTCTACTAAAAACCTCAATACCTGACTAACGATTGTTATTAAGAAGAGTAAAGTATGTAAATTATAATCAAAGTTCTTCGCATTATGCTCTAACTCTTCAAATATTACTGTTATTATTGTTTGCCAAGCCACGATTGGTATCGATATCGATTTACATATAATGTCACTAAAAACCGATGCCCATTGACGCAAATCATTAATGTCAATAGATAATGAGTACTGTCGACGTAAGCTAAGTTCATACAACCAAAAATCAACTCCTCGATTATGTTGGGCATTATCAGCTAGAAGAGCACCACAAAATCGAAGAGAACGACAGTATTTTGTATTAGTTGGTCCAAGCAAACGTTCACGTACGAGTAATGCTTCAGTGTACATATGATCATCATTTAATCGAAGTTCTTCTAGTTCATCGATTGTTTGACATTCTTGTCGATTATCAAACACTTCGACCGTTGATAACCGTTGAATTTTAGGAAGATTATGTTCACATCGAAGTTTAAGTGCTCGATAGAAGTATTCAAACGATTTTTCAAGATTACAAATGCCATGTTCACGACAAGCAAAAGCACTTCCAAGTAATTCTAGTGCTTCGATTTGTTCAAGAACTGAACATTGTGGAGAAATAGCATCGACAAAATCAATTCGTCTCTTTTCCGCTGCTAACAATAATAACAGTAATATTTGAAGAGTTA